TGGATGGATGGATGGATGGATGGATGGATGGATGGATGGATGGATGGATGGATGGATGGATGGATTTTTTTAACCAGTAAATTTTTTATTAAATTTCAACAAAAGATGCAGCTACATACAATTTCATTTTTAAAAAAAGTAACTGTGAACATTTACTTAAAATTGCATTTAGAAAAACGAAAAAGTCATAGCAAAATAGGGGATTTAAACATAGCTCTATAGTATTCTGAAATATACCATCTGCACTGACATTTGAAGATCTTGAAGTTGTGTTCTCTTCTTAAACAGCAGGTTGGCCAAATATGTTATGTCTAACTTATTTGATCAGTGTAAGACTTGATTTAAAACATGCATGTCTTGTTTTTGGACCCAACGTAGAACTTCAGTTAACAATTGGGTGGAAAGTCTTTAGGTTCCTCTGATGGAGCTTTCTTTCCTGTGGGTAATGAGTGGGTGCTAAGTCATCCTTTGCTGTGGTTATACGTTCTAGCTGTTTACTTCCACATTTATAACTACTGCATTCACATAGAAGCATTCATTTTTCCTTTTCATATGTTGCCATTAAAACAAGACTGATCTTCTAGAAATAGTTTAAACCTCTTCTGGTCACGGTGCTGCATAAAAACAAAACCTTTTTTTTTTTTTTTAGATGATACAATGTGCATGAGATGTTATTTGCTTCTGCTAGAAACACACATATCTGAAGGATTCTGATGTTGTGATCACTAATCACTCACTTGGCATTCCTTTACAAAAAGTCATCACATACCAAGAAGACCATCAACTGCTTTTGGAAAACTTTGTCAAATTGACAGCACAGAATTAAATTAAGAAATACCACCTTAAATGTTGCTGTAAAGTAGCAAATTGCATTTAGTCATTGACTTTGCAGAATTAACTCCCCTCGCTGTGAATGGACGACGGGCTCGTGTTCTATGGTTACAACAATTGCTGACCCACTTTGGAAGGATGGATTAATCATATTTGGAAATATGCTAATGATTATATTTCTAATAGAATCAATCTTATTTATTAAGAATTCCATACATTTCAGCCTGGAAACGTAGATGGGGAGAAGAAGCAACTGACATTTTTTGACATGAAGAAATGAATAAGTCTTTGGCACAGAGACCCTGGCAGAAGATGTTGCTGACTGCAGTTGATCTGGAGTCAGCAAGGTCAATCCTAGTTCCGCCCTCTCTGCCCGAGTGTCTGGTTGGAAAATGGAGATTGAGAAATGAGGGGGCAGAAAGGCTAGTGTGGAAAGAAGGTGGTGAAGGAGAGGAGGAGGGTTGCAGTTCAGCAGCAAAGCAAGGGTGTCTTCAGTCCTAAAAGGAGAGTGCTTAATGATGATAGGCTGAGGTGACGGCTGGGGCGGAGGGGCATAATCAGGAGATCGGCTGGTTATCCTCCCACAGCAGGGTGTCACAGTGAGCTTGACACAGATATTTTTGATTTATGCCCAATTTTGAAGCATGGTCTGCTCTATGTTATTCCACGCCACAACTCAAGAGGGAAAATTACGAACTAGCTGTGGGTCTAGTTACGGCCGAGGCGGTGAGGAAGTGGGGGCAAGTTTGTGCGACAACGGAGGGAAATGAGGGCGAAAAAAGAGCGGGGATCCAGGTGGAAAAATGTCCCAGCGTTCTCAAGCACATCGCTCTTCTAGCTGGTCCAACTTCATGAGTCGTTTTCCACAATGGCGGTCATACAAACAAAACAAGCCAGTAAGATACCAAACAGGAAATACGTACAGTGTAGAGTGGAGGTAGATTTGACCAATCAGAGGCCTCCTGTCTACGGCACTATTTGCAGTCAACTACAATTTTGGAGAGGTGCGGCAGAGTGTTTGCGGAAGGAGCAGGGGAACATTTGCGTTCACTGCGACACACACGCAGATGACCTGGTTGCTGAGAAATAATCAGCCTTCAGAGTTTGTAGAATGGATGGTCTTAAAAGAGCTATGACTGTGTGAGTTTTGCAACAGTATTGACTAGACTCTGGGATTACTTTTATTTCCTCTTTAAATAAAGATGAATCACTTCTCTTTTTTGCAAAGTATAATTTTATACAATAATAGACTGTTTTTAACTAACTGAGTGGAGTTTTTTCAGAGACATAGAGCACCCAGAACTATCTATTTTGCAACCAGAAAAGCAATTTGTGGGAACAATGTTAATAACTGCTCTCTGCTCTGGTTTTCAGTGACGGGAAAAAAAATTAAAAGGGGAAAACATTCTTCATAACTTGTTACTGCATTGTCTGATTATGATCTTCTCAAGAAAAACCTTATCTTGTGTAGGATGATTTAGCTAAATAACACTCAAGCACCGTCAAAAACAGATACCGGTAAGAGAAAGTTGTTTGAAGAAAATACAGTCTTTTCTTCACAATCAATGCTACATGTTGGCACAAGTTCGAAAGTATGAAAATAAGAATGTGTGGGTCTGCACACATTTTTAACGAAGCTTACTGAATCTAGGGCTAAGTTAACACAGCAGACAAATAGGACCAAAATCTTGGATTTTTGCCCATATTTGTGCTAAAACCAACTTTTTCACAACAGTCTGTTTTTCATTGAAGAGAATTCCAATTTCCCATATCCAAGATTAGCTGCTTCCATATGTGGTTATATTGTTCCAGAGTATTCGGTAGATTTCAAAGCATCTCCAGTCTGAACAGTAATGAGGCATTTTATCCATTTTGAACATCATTACAATTGTTTCCATTATACATCCACACAGACCTCTCTACAGCACATGATTTTTCTTATCTTTTTTCCTTTGCCAATTAATGGGGCTTTAATAATATGGAGACACCAGTATCCAGTATACTGTGTTTTTTAATGCTTCTAATGACAGACATCAATAAATCTGCAAACGTAGTTGTTGGGATCTGGAGATTCACCACCTTTCTCCAGCAGAGTGCGCTGTGGGTCTCCTGGGCTGGAGCCTCCTGCACACCTGACGCTCATCAGCCCATCAGGAGACCTTCCTACATAAGCAGCAGCCAGACCTTCCTTCAACGCTGCAGTGTTGACCAAGTTTGGTTAGCGAACCTGAGCCTCTGTTATCCTGATAGAATCTTAGTTGTCTCTAGAGAGAAACCTGATTCTAATCTGCCTCTGTCTTCTTGCTCACAGGAAACCCGTCTAAGTCTAAAGCTCTGGATGAGCTTTGCCTATAAACCTGCCTGCCTGCCTAAGGGAGCCAAACCTGAAGATCTCAATCTGGACTCCTCCTGCTGCTCTCAAGGAAGAGCTGGAATCTCAAACCAAGGTCTGCCACTCACAAGTCAGAAGCTAGACGCTGCTGCTGCTGAGCACTCTGCTGAACCAACAGTCTCTGGACCCAACCGGTTCCCTCTCTCTCAAAGATCTATCTGGACCTCTTCAAGGTATATTCTGAATAATCTAAATTCAACAAACCATCTGACTGCCTGGCTAATCAAACTATCCGTCTCTGCAGACATCAGTGAATCCAGTCCCGGACCAGTGCCTGAGCCAGTTCATGTTCTTTGTGTGAAAACCTTCAATAAACTCTGTTAAACTTTTACTCTGTTTCCAGTGGTGTTCTGCATGTGGGTTAAGTCTCTTAAGCCAATCATGACAGTAGTAATGCTTTGCAAAGTCTACAGCCTTCTTCTGTGATTGCAGGTTGCTAAGTCTATTTGCAGACACATTTAATCAGCATAAGACCTGCTTTGTGAATGTAGTCTCAGATAGCACTACAGGTCTAAGATAAAAACTGAGAATAAAGGCCTGAAAATACTAAAAAAAGAACAGAAGGGGTTTTGGTTCCTTAAAATTTAAATAGCGAAATCTGGCTTAGATGTTCAAATAATTGCAATTGTTAGCTGGCTTTGAACAGCTTAGATAGTAAAATAGGTTGAAAGGTGGTTGCTACTCTTCCTCATGCAGCAATACTGAAAATGGAAATTTAAATAATGAGTGAATTCTTTTATACTAAGATTTTCTTGCTGGAGCCAGGTTTCTGTTAAACAAAAAAACTAACATTTGATTAGCATCGACAAAAGGTAATTTAAAAGTCCTTAAAGATAGATTCTTTTTTTTTTTTAATAGATCACATCTAATTTTAAAATTCTTTCTTCCGTTTTGCTTAATTGGATTCGTACCACTTTTTATGATGGTTTTCAAGACATGCTTGCAGCTAAGAATCTTCTTTACGTCATCTCCCAGCTGTCAGAATTACTTGATGGACTTAAAAGAAGGAATTGAAACTCCTGCATACAATTTTTATCACATTTTGAAACGTATAATCCATGAATTCATTTTAGATACGTTTATTTAAGATGTACACCACATAAACAAAAAAACAAAACAAATGGAATTTCAGAAAGCATAAATATTTCAAAAATACCTTTTTTTATAGAAGGCAATTTCGATAAGAGAACAATTAGTATCTAGGTTTTCTTCTAGAATGCAGCAATTGTAAAGTAATGCAGTACGTTTTTTCCTTCAAACATTTTGTGTTTTTGGAAGAATTCTTTTTTGACCACTACTATTGCTACTTTTAGGTTATCCTCCAAAAGGTAAAGACGTCTGTGGTTATCAATGGGGATCTTTGAGCAATGAGTTGCGCATAAGCAACAGTAAGACTGAAGCCCAAATACGTAGCTGCAGAAACATTGACAGAGGTTCCTCCTTAACATTCAGATGAGAGTCAATAACTCATAAAAAGCGGTTGTCCTTGGAAAAGATATTCATTTAACAGAGAAAACCTCCAAAAGGTCCATCTGAAGTGTGCCAATGCAACCAAAATTCTTAGAGGCTAGCACATAAAAAAGTCAGAAATCTAAGTCCACAAAACAAAGGATCTGTATGAGATAGATTAATCCTCATCTCACTATGGTTCAGTCCATGTTCTCGTTGTCCTTAATTTTCCTTCCAATTGGTTTGATGACATGTGTGAGAGTTACTCAGGAAGGACTTCCACATAATCTGAGCAGGCAGTATCTAAAGAAACAAACAAGGGGAAGTAGAATTAAACACAACAGTCAATGAAGGGAAGCTGTAAGTAAACAAGAAATAATCTTTGACATACTCTCATAGTCATTGTCCTCTTCAGGTAAAGGAACAGCTGCTCGTGATGTGTATCTAGGCGATACTCCAGGTGATTTTCTAGCCGATACTCCAGGTGATGCTCTAGCCGATACTCCAGGTGATGCTCTAGCCGATACTCCAGGTGATGCTCTAGCCGATACTCCAGGTGATACTCTAGCTGATACTGCATTCGATACTCGTGCCGTTTCTTCAGGATGTGTGTCCTGTATGTGTGGTGGCTGGATCAAAAAGGGAGTTTTCTTTTTCACTGCGCGGGATAGGTGGATGGCCAAACCCTGGTTTTTTCTCTTGTAATTCCGGATTAAATCATCCAAGGTCTTAAAATAAGTTTCTTGCAAACCTCCTGCAGTCTGAAATGGTAACACAGAGAGAAATTTAATAAAACGTTTAAAAAAAAATTTACACTTTCAGGTTTTTTAAATGTATTTTCACTTTAAATTTTCTGTCTCAATTTATTTGATTTTTTATTTTATAGCACTGCTGCCTTGCAGTAAAAGGTTCTGGATTTGACTCCCGGCCCAGGGTCTTTCTGCATGGGGTTTGCATGTTCTGCCTGAGCATGCATGGGTTCTCTCCGGGTACTCTGGCTTCCTCCCACAGTCCAAAAACAGTACTGGTAGGATAACTGGTTTCTCTAAGTTGTCCTTAAGTGTCGGTTGTTTGTCTTGTTTGTCTCTGTGTTGCCCTGCAATGGACTTGCAACCTGTCCAGGGTGGACCCCGCCTCTTGCCCGTAGACAGCTGGAGATAAGCACCAGCACCCCTTGCGACCCCACTTGGGATAAGCGTGAGAGATGTGATATCATTGCATCCTTTTATTTGTTATAGTTTTAAACAGTTTTAATCTTTGTGTACATACTGTAGTAGCTAGGTTTAGGATTTTAATTGAAATATGTTAAATTTTTTTATCTCTTTTTATTCTTATTTTTTATCTTTATTATATTGTATAGTCGGATGTGTGTATATATTATATAAACCTGTAACTGGAGCGTATAACAAAAGTAATTTCCCTCTGGGATTATTAAAGTATTTCTGATTCTGATTTAGAAGTAGCTATAATGAATTTTGTCAATAAATTCTTATATTTTGAATTGTGAATTTATACATATGTGTGCAGGATTAACTTTTTGACCATGATTTAAGCTTGATTCACACTTTTATTAATGTTCCTAACATAGCCAGTTGGGCGTGTATTCACAGAACATATTCCCCCTACACTTCACTCCCGGATGGGCATTAAATATAAGGTTACTGCATAACATTTGATGACAAATCTAATATTTTCATTTATGCATTTATTTATTACAAATTGTAAATAATGTTCGTAGATTTAGAAAAAAATGTATATTGAAAACTGGTACAACATAACACTGTAGTTCCTGCAGACAATAAACCCATGCAAAAAGATGAAATATTGACCTGCACAGAAATATATAGAGACTAGGGCTGCGACTAAGGATTATTTTTCAAATTGATTAATCTGTTGATTATATTTTTTAATGAATTGATTAATAATCAGATAGCCAAAGTTTCCTTAAAGATTTTTTTTTACGAAATTAAACCATGTGAAATTAAACTTTTCAACTAGAGGAGTTCTGGATAGAGTTTACTGACAGATGAACATTTTTTTAAAATCTTAAATAAAGAAAAAAAATTGTTTTTTTTACAATATAATATCTTAACTGCTCTAAGTGGGTCGCTCTGTCAACTAAACTCATGTTTTATAGTCTCTACACTCCAGTTAATGATTAATCTATTACTAAATTAGTTGATGATTAATATATGTGGGCAGTAATAAGCTGTTCTGGTAAACCCTTCAGGTTTAAATAGTTCATATATCACTCGTGTAGAGCAAACAATAACTCCCACGAAGTGTTACTGCATCAGTATAACTAAGTTAGAAGCAAGAGAAGGTTTTAAAATAGCTTATTTTGAAGGTATTTTAGACCCAACACACAACTTATCCTGTACTTCAGAGAACTGACTCTTTCTGTTGAACAACAGAAAAGGTTTCTGAAAATAGAGAAGTCCAGATTTATAAACATGACTCTGTTTAAGTTTTTAGATTAAATGTTGGATTAATGCTACCTGCTTGACTGTGTTTCCCTTCTAGACAGAGAAGAGAAATTACACCCGGGTCATATATGACTACCATTGTTTTTGACTTCAGGGCGGTGGAAAATAGTGGTGTGTGTTGTGTCAAAATAATGTCAAAAATGACAAAATGGAAAGAAAACCTGTTTCCGCACATTAAAGGTCAAATGTTCTTACAGCAAAATTAAAGCACCAGGATGGTTTGAATTGGTGGGCAGAGAAAACCTTGTTTCCAACCCAAATGAAATATGCAAACGATGCATCACAATCAACAAAGATTTCCATTATTGTTGCATAAAAAGAACACATTTTGAAATTTGAAATATAAACAAATTCAATCCAAAAATGAAACTTTAAAAACATTTTTAACCACAAAAAGATTTTGAGTGTTTTGTCATATTTTGTTTTAATTTTTTTTTCATATTTCAAAACTTTATTTTTAAAAAAAAGTATTTTTACACATTATCTGTTCAAGCTTCTTATTAAATTTCTGTATTTTTTATATTGGGTTTCCAATTGCATTTTATAGATCATCATATTTTCTTCCCTTCTAGGTCGGGGTTACCTTTGAAATTAGGGGCAAATTTCTCTTTATCTCCGCTGATGTTAGGGACAACAGCATCATGATCAGTGTGTACATCAAGAATCAATGTTTGAATTGGACTTAAAATTAAAGTGAATGTGAATGCAATTAGAAAAGCACAATTTTTAAAGCTTAAACTGAAAACAGAAATTTAAAGAAAAATGAAAAACGTTAAAAATATCGATTCCATCACCCATTTTCTCAGGCTTAATCCTTGTAAGGGTCGTTGTGGGGCCGGTGCCTATCTTCAGCACTCTATGGGCGAGAGGCAGGGTACACCTGGACAGGTGACAGTCTGTCACAGGGCAACATAAAAGGCACACAACCATGCACACACACAATCACACCTAAGGACAATTTAGAGAAGCCAATTAACCTAACAGACAAGTTTTTGGATTGTGCAAGGAGGAAAGAGTAACTTTTGGATTAAAATGTTATTCAAAGTTTCATTTCTGGATTGGATATTTTTTTCTTTATTTAAATTTACAAAATGCGTTCTCTGTTTGCAACAATAATGGAACAAATATACTCCATAGTTGCACTTCCAGGTTAACAAACTGTAGAGGAGCTGGAATAATATGGTGATGAAGATGATGAGCTGCTGGAGGATTTACCAGGATGATCTGAGACTGAGGATGAAAGTCTAGATGGAGGAATCTGGAGTTCAGTTTATATCTTCCTCATAAGATTACTGAATGAGGCTAATAAGGTGTTAAAACTAAGCAAATGAATTTCAGTTTAATGGTAAATATGACCTACAGAGTCTAAACTTAGTTTAACCGCCTCCAATATCGTTTTAAAACTGGTTGAAATAAATGGCAACTTTCAGGGGGTTGTTCCACAGTGGCAGGTTGTAGTCTGACAGGAAACAACACCCCCCCACTCACATGCAGATGCTAACATTAAGTCACACGATCCCACGACACCAAGAAATGATCTTTTCCCCATGGGACCCAGACGTTAGTCCCCATAAGTACCTCTTGGTCCCCAAAATGTGGTCTATTTCTGAATGATTGCCCCCACACAGTAACATTGAACCCCAGTCGGCTTCGGCAGATGGCCGCTCACACTCAGCCTGGTTCTGCTGGAGGTTTCTTCCTGTTCAAAGGAGGTTTTCCTTTTCACTTTCACTACATACATGCTTGGTGTGAGGTATTACAATCAGCTTGTTTTCATTCAATCTGACTGTATTATCTGGTTGAATTGTCTCTGCAAAGTGCCTTGAGATGACATGTAAATATAAACAAACTGAATTAAATTGAAAACTGAATTTTAATTATCCAATAAATTTTTTCCTGTAACTATTCATGTTCATCTATTATTTAAATAACCTTCTTGCTTCCGTAACGTAGGCTACCTTTCTGTGTATTTTCTCTATTATGTGCTTTTTTTAATGTACTGAACGTTGAATTGTCCTCCTGCTGAAATGTGCTGTATAAATAAGCATACCTTGCTTTGCCTTGCCTTTTCATTGAGTTAGAAACTAGAGTAATGAAAACCATTTTTAGACAACCTTTATTTCTTTATTATCATTTTCTAAAGGAACCAGAGGAAAACAATAAATACTTAAAGCAAAATCAATCCTACTATTGTAGTTGCATTTTTTCTCGGACCTTATGTATTTTTTTCAAATATTATAACTAAATATTTAAAACTGACCTTAAAAGTTTACCCTTAACCTCTTACACCCTAAGGGGGTATAAATAAATTTCTGCCTGACAAAAACACACAAAAGTAAATAACTTATAGCCTCAAAGCTATTAGATTTAAGAAGAAACTTTTGGTACGTCTGTAAAGGTAAGATGTCATAGAATGGTTTTCTGGTGTCAGCACCATTGTAGCTTTGACCCTGCCTGAAATATTAGGGACAAAATACAAAATATTTTGCATTTTTTGAACCTCGCCAAAATTTTCTTTGAAATAAACATTGCAAAACACTACCTAAATATTATTTATAGCACAAAAAAGTAGTACAGACTTTTAAATCTAAATGTTGTGTAAAAATATACCAAATTTGGACTCAATCAGATGAATCATATTTATTTTAGAATGGTATTAGTGAGAAATTTCTTAGGCGGAGAGGCCATTTTGGCACATTTATCCATAAATGTCACCAAACTGTGCCAAATGTGTTTTTTTTACATCAATACTGGGGGTTTGTTAAAATTACGAGGTCACGTAGCAGCTGGACCCGCCGGTGGGTCCGTAGGGTTCAAGGGGATAAAAAATACAATGCATTTCTTATTGTGGATGTTAATAAGAAAATTTAAGTTCTCTTTTTTTTTTTTTTTACATATTAACATATCACATTTGGATCTTCTATAGTGGGTGAGAGGGAAACTGAATGGCTCATTAGATTTGGTTGCAAACACCTTTTCTAATCTAGGAGTCCAACATGGTTATTAATTAAAGGAAAAAAACAAGTGTGACAAATAAGGTTAAAATAAAAAAGGTTAAAATAAAGGTGTTTGTGGTCACTGAACCATTAAGCTCTTATCTGTAATTATTTGTTGCTTTAAATATATGGTTATTTCTGTACTCTAAATACCTCAAGGGTTTGTCTCAACCAGAATGGAAATGGATTATTTAGTAAAATAATGACAAAGAGCATCAGATGGTGGTGGCTTTTAGCATGGTATCGATATCCACCATACTATGGAAGCTGCAGGGCAACATTCTACTCTTTCTTATTGTGGGTGACACAGCAATCTCAAAATACATTTGTCAAATCGGTTAAAATAAACAATGACATGTGAGACATTTCTCTGAAAACAGGACTGAAAAAGTCCTCTCTTCAGAGGAGGCTAACTACAAACTAGCTGTCTCTACCAGGGGACAGACAAGTTCCTGGACTACACTTCCCTGTTTCTAACATAGTGCCAAAATAAGCTCTGTCGTTATACTGAATTATTCTTCCTGCTTTGTAAAAGCTGCACCGGTGTCGTTTTCTCCTGATGAATACTTCTTCTTTTATTTGTTTCTCTTGTCTCTCATTGGTCAAAGAGTACAGATGGTCGACCAATTGCAATGAAAAGTAGGAGTTAGAATGATGTACGGCACATTTTTTCACATTCAGGTAAAACCCACAAGGCTGACAAGTTTGTCTTCTTTTAGCTGCTCTAATCAAAATACCAACATGGTATCTATGAATTTATAAATCACTAATTCTAAGATCTGTGAATGCTTTCGTCTTTGATGTTATTAGATATTTAGTATACTGTATGTATTTATGAAGGCAATGCTTGATTTTTACTAAATAAAACTATTTTTTTACAAACTGTCCCTGAGATGAAAAGAAATGTAAATAAGTGTTTACCAGGAGGGTGTAGTATCCATTGTGTGCCTGAAGGATTCTGTAGGTATAAACCACCCTCTGTTTGCTGAAAAGAGAAAAGCAGAAATTCAATGATACTGAGGAATTCATTTTGAGGAAACATTGCACTGCTTTCGTCAACAATGACTGCTAAAGATGAGATCTGGCCCCATATTTACATACCACCAATCATCCCTCTATTCTGTGGGTCATTTAGATGGTTTCTGCATATCTGCTTTATTAGATAAAAACAAATTTGCATATATATTTTGGAACAAGCATGTGAAATACGACCATGAGAAAACCTCAGCCGAAGCTCAAGTCACAGCATGAAAGGCTGTAAAGAAGAGATGTGGTTTCTTTAAATAAGAAACAAAGAAACCAACGGCTTCTCTGAAAGTCAACCGCTTTAGACGGTTTTCAAAGCACAGAACTCAACTGGTCTCGCTGCTTTCAGATGGAGAACATAAAAAGGAATTACAGGTTTTGATTTTACAATTATTCTCCTTTAGTTTCTAGGGTAAGTGAATGACTATTGGCACCAGGATTACAACAAATGTGAACCATGAGCGAAAATTATGCTCCATTGGGGCCTCCTATTTTAATTAACCATGAGCTTACAGTATATAACTCCAAAGAAGTTTATTTTAAACTATACATCCCTCATGCAGGATTTGTTGACCCCCAGTTGTTATGAGGTGAACTGTTTGAAGCCCACAACCAACCCACGTGAAAAAACTCGGGAAATAGACTGAATGGTAATCGTCAGTTATCATTTCTGCTACCTTTGTTTCATAGATATGAAATATTATTTTTTAGCTCATCCAAAGGTTGTTGTCCCCCATTTAGCTCTTAATTGGCCACGTTTTTAGCAATAAAACTGTCGTCTGTGTTGCTTTGGTTCTTAAGATATAAACATTTTTCATTTCAGCCAATGATGTCAGCATCCCAGCAGATGTTTGTGCTGCACTTATTCCACAATCTAGTTATTGATTAACATAATGTCATTCCTGTGCTTGCATTGAATATAACAGTGAGCATGTTTACCTTATTCAGTGGGTGGAATGGTTATTTCATAATATTTAGTAGTTCATGAGGATCCTTCTGTTTCGATCTGCTGTTAGCCCTGGCAACACCATAGCTTTTCCCTGTCAAAATCTCGGTAATACTGCTTCACAAAGGAAGCATAGGTGAACATACCATTATATACTGCTGCTAAATTGGTCTCCAATCACAACTTTTGAGACTATCAATTTCGGAAAAAAGTCCTGGAAGTACTGAAAAAGTAGTCCAGCTTGGTGTGTCTTGGAGCCCTCTGGTTGGATGGGGACGTCAGCCACTAAAATTAAATGTCCCATATTATACAAAAAAACAGTCAGATGTGTCCCGAAGCCTTTGTATGAGGTTCACAAATAAACAAAGACCTTCCCCCTCTAACACTTCCTTTCTCCACATCTTAGCTAATGTATGCTCAAAATTCTATGTTTGAAAAGTATTCCCCTTATGATGTCATGGGGGGGTAATAAGTTGCCCAGAACGGTCTGTAGCAGCCCATAGATGGGGTAACTAATGTCAGGCACTTAGGACCTTGGACCCAGAATTCAAGCAGACAGCACAGCGATTACCAAAACAAACTCAAACAGACCATAACAATGAGCATGTAAGTCACTAACCTGGTTCTGAGTTCAGTCTGAGCCTAGAGCCTTGCGGCAACATTTTTTATTTTTAAAACTACTTAAAGTATAAAGGTAAAAGTAATGCAGGGAATGCTTTACTGGACTAGCCTATTAAATTAACATTTTTCTACAATTCTGGATAACAACTTCCTTATACTTAATTTCCTTTGTTTTTTACCTAACGGCGTGTGTCAAATCTAACTTGCATCATCTTGAAAAACTACTTATATTGTTATGTAGTGTACAACTAGTTGGTGCAGCACCAAGTCCAACCAAAAAGAAATGAATTGTCTGGATCAAACAAATTATTTTTTGTTGCAATTAACCTTTTTTAAATACAAACAGTTCATAACGAAAATAAGCTTAAATGAAACAAAACTAATGAGTCCATTTTTAAAATGTAAGGAATAGAAAGTAGAGATAATTGCTAAAAAATGTAAGCAGTAAAAGTTATCTAAAAAATAATTACTTCAGTAAAGTCTAGATAGCCAAGTTTTCAACTTAAGTAAGTAATCCATTATTTCTACTTGACACCTCTAGTGCTTATGTCTAAAAATGTGTTATAAAAAGTGAAACATTTTAGCTTCTTATATTCTTTAACACCGATAATCTTCTCGATTCCTAATTTATTGGTCCAAACTACTTAAAAAGTCCATTAGGTGAGCAAATAAGTTAGGTAAAATGTCACACCATTTATTTAAATGCACATTAGTTTCATGTTTGTTTGAGCAGCTAAGATTTCAACATTTAGATTATCTCTCTAAATATTCCTCCCCTCTCTCAACGAATACATTTTTTTAATTCTGTACCTGCTTATTTTTAGCTTTATATATTCATTTTGAAATTTGAAGTAATATAGATCATAGACTGGAAAATCAGACTGAACAGGGCAAAAAAATTGTACAGTATATGCCCGGCTTTAGATGCACCTCATGCCATAGAAGGTGTTCCTTAAAATTTGGTAATGATTCAGCTCATCTGCGAGTTCTAGCTAAAGGTGCAAGTCATAATATGGGGCGAAACTTGCTGCTTGGCCGAGGTCTGCACTCTGACAATGCTTTTCTAGTTTAAAATGTCTTTAAAATGCCAACTTTGCATTAACCAATAAATTATAACTAATCATAAATATGTCATAACAGGTCTAATTATAATAATCTGGCACAGATGGCAGGCAAACAGGAAGCATAAATAGCAACAGGAACAAGATGAAGGGTAATGAACAACCGGGCCAATTAGACAGGTGAACAGAGTAATCCCTTAAGCCAGTGGTCCCCAACCACC